CCAGCTGCCCATTGTCCATTTTCCCCTTGCCATAATGAGGAACCCCAAATTCAAGGTCATCTGCCAGTGGAATTAGTCAGTTAGTGCAGCTGGAGCTCCTGAGATGCTGCAACAAGGGCAGTAATTTATGTCCCTCTGTCCTGCACCAGGCCTATTATCCTGGGAAGCAGCAGAGTCCAGTCACGAGGCAGAAATACACCATTTGATATTGCTGTTGCTGCTACACAATTTAGAGCTGCTACTGCCAGAGCCTTAAACGTTCCCTAAGTGGTGACTGTCTTCTGCTAATGCAGATGCATTTCTTTTGTGAGTCAGCTTACTGCTGTTCTTGTTGGTCTATGCTTGCTTTCCTTCCATTTTGGATGCAGACAAGGTTCCTGGGTCCAGCTCTTTCATTATTTCAATACCAGGACTGGAAAACTCCCCTGGATCATCTCCTGAATCAGACAGGAGCGTCTTCATACAGTAGTTATCTCCACCACTCTGCCTGGGAGATTGTACCATGCTCTAAGGCACCTAAATGCCAGATTACCCCCCAGTCAGGCTACACTTTACATAAAAAATTCAACAGGCCACTTTATTTACTCTCTTATCCTTCATCACACAATACTTCTCTCTGTTTTCTGGCTCATCAAAGCCATAGGAGAACATGCTATCATCAGACATAGGCATACATAAGACCTATTGGGACATAAAATCTAATTGCCCATACTCAGTGAATTCACCTCAAAGTGAACCACTATCTCCTTGCAGGTTGCCTTTGACGCTTGGTTTCTGTCTCTTCCTTATCCCATGGGTGATGGTGAGTGGGACCATCCCAAAAAAAAGGTCTATCCAGTCATGAGAGAGATCAAATATCTCCCCTTCCTCAACAACAGCTGCTCTGTCTGTCCATGAACAGGCACAGGTAGCTGTGTGGTGACACTGGGAAGGGTTAATATGTGGACTAGTAGGAAAACTTTGGGGTTCACAGAGAGCTCCCTTGGGGTTCAAATGAATCCTCTGTCTCGGAAGCATCCAGCATCCAGAGCACTTGTCAGCACAGACAGTGCTGGATGTGGGTGTATTCAGACAAAGCTGAGGTGGTCAGTCATTATGTCTTTAAGTGAATGCTTTTGTTGCCTTTTGATGACTCAGGGTGTCTTTTATGAGGTAAAATTAATGCAAGTGCTCCTCTTTTTACAGTGGCCACACTGCCCAGGAAATGAAATGCCATAAGGGGAGCAAAGCTCATTAGTTTGGTGTTGTAAATGGTTCTCCAAGGTCTCAGAAATCCTATGATTAACATAAACATAGACAGAGGCAATTACCAACAAACATATATATAAACCCCAGCTTTCCATCTAGAAACATGGTCTGCAGTATCCCTCTTTGTCTGTTCATAGATGTGGGGACCGAGAGGTAAGGGACTTTTCGTACCAATCGTGACATAACCCAAAACCTGAGGAAGCCAGCTCAGGGTGAAAGTGAGGACTACAGAGCACATAACAGAGTTCCCGAGGTACTAGCTAAGGGATCTTGCGATTCATCCTCAGAATTATAACCTTTTTTGGAGAAAATTGAAGCAAATCCTATCCTGGCATGTTTTTTTCACACTGAAGTCCTCTCTCAGGCGGTTGCTGTCAGGTGGACTTCTTAGGACAGGGCAGAGCAGTTCTAATCTTATAAGAAATATCTCAAGTCTTCATCTTGCTATAGCTGGAAAAGTGTAAATCTTGTCAGGTTTTCTAGAGAGTTCCAAGAGATCCACCAGAAGGTAATGTTCAAGAGGAGAATGAGAACAGGGGAGGATGGGAGGAGTGGGTCAGCCACGGGCAGGCTGTGTAGGCGTAGCAGGCCCACGTATTTGTGGGAGATTGTGCGCTTTTTACCATGTGTTTCTCTCTTTAACCTTGTGCATTTATTCAGAATAGCCCCAAACATGAAGAATGAGGTGTGTTTTGTAAAAACCAAGGCTTGGTTCTCCTGTCTCTGTGGCAACCATGTCAAGAGACAACTGTGTTGTTGCCACAAGGGCAAATAGTGAAGGAGACAGGGATGTTTGGGCAAGGTCAGGCAGAAAGCCCAGAGTTCCAGCTCTAACAAAAGTCATACCAAGTACAGGAGTTTATGAATAACCTGCCCTATAGGAATATCCCCCACAGACTCCTGGTAGTCAAAAAGCAGCTTGAAGCATCTCTTCTACTCTGTTTTTAACAGATATTGTCATGACTTTAAATGCTCCGTCCTACAGTAATGAGTTTTGCAGGCTGATTACTTGTTGCATGATAAAAATAAGTTGCCAGCAGCTGACTCAGAGAGGCAATGGGCAAAAAGAGAAAAAAAAAAAAAAAGAAGTAGTGCTACTTGTTTTCTCAGAAAAGAGAGAAGGGGCAGGGAAGGAAGAAGGTTTACAAACCTGCCTTGGGACTAACCCAGGGGAGGAGAAAAGCATGGAAGTTTGTTAACTGACCTGGTGGGGCAGGACATGGTCATGTAGGTTGCAACTGTTTTAAGTTACATGTCCTCCAAAAGTCTTCCAAAGGAGGTCTTGGAGACTTTGTGTTGTTACTGGTCCCCAAAAGGTTCTTACCTTACATCCAACCCCTGCCTAAAGGAACTATGGGCTTTAGTCGCTTACATCTGACCTCTGGAGTAGCTGCTATGATGTCATCAGTGTCACAATTTTACACAAAATTAGGTGTTCAATTGTGTGTTAAATAGTGGTAGTTAGCTTGGATTGCCCAACTAATGAAGCAGGCAGCATTAATGTTGTCACATATGGACTGCTCCAGGGCACTGGCAATATGAGGGAGTCTGAAATCACTCCAACTTAGTGGGAAGAGAGACATCCCTTTTTCTCCTCTGGCATCCCCTCAGTGGGACAGATCCCTCTCACCCAGCTCTCACCCCAGCAGTGCCCCTGCAATTTGCTCTGGACATTACAAATCTGCCTCCCTGCCCAGGCAGTCTTGCCCAGGTGTCCCTGTAGGCTCAGACAGGTGGCAGAAGCTGCTGATCACCTCTAACATGTGCCCAAGTTTTGCTTAATTAAGAACAGACTCTCTAATAGCATTCATCACCATCTCCTGATGGCTCTGGGACCACTCAGACTGTGGCAGCACAACCAGCCAGGCTTTTCTGTCATGCCATTTATGTGTGACATCCTAGAGGGTGCAGTGGCAAATATAGATTTTTATTTTCCAGCATTGAGGGACTCAGCCTGGGACAGACTCAGTCCAGCATCCAGTCTGGTCTCCGGGCCCTTGGGTAGTTGCTCTGAGCCCTCCTGCGTGGCTTGGTGCAGAAACACCAGCTGGGTGGTCACTGTGGTGCTGCCTTAGGTAATGTGGGTGCAAATCTTACCTACCAGAGTGAGGATTAGACCCAAGGTCTTACAACTGAAATTTCTGACCAATATGACTGTGAAAACATTTAGTTGATGGCTACATTGGTTAGATCCTGGAAGATGCTACTTCACCTTCTAAACTGTAGTTATTTCAGGGAGGAAGTGCTTCCTCTTGTTGTTTATTCCCCAGTACTTAACTACAGTCGTTTTAAGGAAAGAAGAGTCTTTTTTGGCTCTCAGGCTGCAGTGATGACCACAGTCAGGGAATGGTCTGGGGGAGATGCTCCTCCTTTCTCCACCCTTCTTTTTGACCACCTTTTTGTCCAATTTGCTGTTCACAAATGCAGTACAGAAGCTTTGTCAAATATTGCCACCTCTTATTTTAAGCAAATCTCAGTCCCAAGACAGCATTTCTGAGCATGGCAGCAGGATCCCAGCAGGGAGGAGGTGACAGGGCCACCAGTTTGGCCCAGCCAGCTGCCCAGCTGGGGTATGAGTTTGGCATGGGGCTGCACCAGGGATCCTGTGGTGGAGCTCTGGGTTAATTCCAATTGGAGAGCCCAGTGCCTTGGCACCTGTCTGCCTGTCTGCATATGGATGGATTTTGGCTCCTGTCCACGTCAGTCTTCCCCTGCAGCCACCTCTACAGTATTTAAGTATTCTTCTGGTTCACCACTATGCAAATATTGAAATTAGCCCTTTGCATGATTATGTAGATAGTGACATTACAGACTTCTTCAGATCATGTGCCTTCTCTGCTGACAGCATCAACCATCAGGTTTATTTTTCAGTGAGTTAAAGAATGGCCCCTAGTGTATAAAAAACTTCACCACTGAAGTATTTGGTATTTGGAATATTTCTTTTTTTTCCCTTAAGCTTTTATCTGAATACATTAAAACCACAAAGTGCTGTGCTGTGAAATAATGCAAAATACAGCCCTCACAGAAAGGGTGCAGTTCTCAGAAACGGAGATTTTTAACTGAGCCTCACTAAAACCAGGAGGAGATTAGAAGGGGCTATGAGGGGAGCCATAGCCTCAATAGCAAGTCCAATATGGCCTGAGACCCTGAGAGAAGGCAGTAGGTGTCACATCCTGCAGTTAAACATAGACACCCCTGGGCAGGGATCGAACTGGTCTGGCTAAATGGCCTCAGGATAGTAATTTCTCCATGGGAAAAGACATCTTTGTCACATCAGTTACATTTCCACAAAACGCTGCGTTTACATCTCATACTTGTGCCTCATTCAGACACCTTCCCTGAGAACCTCATCTTACTGAGAGCTGCAGAACAACCAAAACCCTGTAATGAGTGTGTATGTTCTTAAACCATAGCCATTTTGTCTCCCAGAAATACTGCCATAAGAACACTAGATGCAGGTATTACCATTTCTTTACTGATGATTTCTTGCCCATGGTGCAAATCCTTTGCAGTGTGGAGCACAGCTAAGCCTGATTAGCCAGCCTCACCTTTTACCAGTGGGGCTAATGGGGTTTATTCTCCATTCTCACTTGCTAATCTCTCATCCCCATTAGTTTACATCTCACCTTGAGTTAAAAAACAGTTCGTCTTCAGAGCACACTGGGCATGGCCACAGGAGACTTGGCACGCTGGATGTTATGTGGTCTGCCACGTTGGATGGGCAGTGACAAAAATTATCCCTCTTCCCCCAGGTCCTTCCATCGTCCCACTGCAGCGAGCAGAGCCAACACTGGGCAACCCTCTAAAATGTTTATTTGGACCAGTGGCCGGAGCTCTACATCTTACAGACATGATGAGAAAAGGTAAACGGCACCTGTGCTGATTGTCTCTTATGGGTTTGAATCTTTAGGGGTGTGGCCTGTGGCTCCTCCCCAGTGGTGGCACTGGAGAAGGAGGAGGGATGCAAAGGGTGTCCATCCTGTGCCTCACAACCCCGGCTGCTGCTCCACTGAGCACAGGATCAGCCAGTGAGTGCCAGGATTATTATGCCATGCCAGAATAGAGCAGAGGGGCAATGCCATAGCCATGGCCAAAGTCTTCCTTATTCTCACACATCAGCAGCACACTGTGACCATCTCTGAGGGCAGCACACACACATTTAAAAGCGCACTAATCCCCAGTCCCAGGTTTGCAGTCCCAGTTCCAACCCCTGTGAAGCCTTTATGCTTTTTGCAGGTGTCCTTCCTCCTTCCAGCCATTGGCCATACTGCTCCTGCACCCTCTCCAGACAACACACACACGCAGTGCCTCCTGTCCCCCAGCCAGATCATTGCCCCACATGGCTTTTACACATCTGGATGATGCATCCAGCTGTCAGAGATGTTTTCTGGTTATACAGACACATGTGACAGGATTGCACAGTAGCTGGAGGATGCTAAGCTGCTTGAAAGTGAACTGGTAGCTCACCAGCCCACTTAAGTGGTGTTGCTGGAGGGAACAGGCTGAAGGAGACAGCAATAAATGAGTTACTGGATCTCCCAGAGGAGCAAGGAAACACACAAAAAAGAAGGAAAGAGAAGGAGAGGTTTGAAGTCCACAGACAAAGGCAGTGCTCCGCTGGGAATGAAAGTTAAATATCAATGATGAAAGAATAATTGTCGGTAATGCTCAGACTCATCCTTCCAAAATCTCTCTCCTTTGTAGTAAGATTTGCTGGACAGCTTGTCTTGTCACAACAAGGACACTTTTGCCTTTCTTTTCTTTCTTTTGCCCCTTCCCTCCTCTCCTTTAGTTCCTCTTGCAGTCACTATTACATGTAATCACAAAAAATCAGACTCTGGTGAAACAAAAACAGATATCAGTGCATCTACAGTGCCAATTAGCAAAACACATTCCTCAGTTATTCTAATGAGACATTACTGCTGGCATCTGCTTGGGAAAATGCGCTCCTGAATTCAGGCAGCAGAGCTGCTCTCAGGACCCTGAGATTCTTTGGAGAACTGGCCCATTTGCTGAACTTTTCTGCAAAGATTGCATAGGTGTTCAGCTCATTGGATAATCTGATCCCAAACAGGTATTCTGAGGATCAAAAGGCCAGCTTGGAAGCAGGTTTCCATGAACTTCCAGTTGGAGCTGGTTATCTAACTGCCTCCTGCAGAAGTTAGACTTCTGCAAGTCTCTTCTTTAATTGAATTTTCCCCAGGCTAATGTTGTCCTGCATTAAAACACTGTCATGGTCCAAGGTTAGACACTTGGAGGAGATATCTGCCCACACTTTGGGCTGGCTGGAAGCCAAGTGCTCCTGATTAGCATTGCCTTTGACTCTCCCCATGCCTTGCAGTGGGGCTTATTAACCTGGACTGAGGGCTGTGCTAAACAGGACTCATTGGCGTCTGGTCAGCCTAAACCCTCAGCAGAGCTCATCCCTGTCTGCCTGCAGAAATAGGGAGCGGGGAGCAGTATCTCTATGCCTACACACTAGCCATGGGAAATTCAGGTGCCTTGTCAAGCCTTGGGGTGTGTTTTTTTTCCCAAGTGGTCCTGTGGAGCTGTACAGAAGGAATTGTTTGTACCTTGTGAGTGATTAATGAAATGCATGAGGGAAAGGGAGGAAAAGAAAATAGAAATAAGAGAGTGCTGATGGCAGCCTCAGGACTGCAGAGGAGAGGTGTGAACACAGAGCGAGTGTTGCCAGTGGGAGAAACTCATCCGCCAGTGTCTGGCAGTGATTTCAACACATGTAAGGTCACCAGTACCATCATTATATCAAATAGGTGGTACCTTTGAGAGAAATTACCTGCCTTAAATGACCCTTTCCTAGGAATTCTGTTCTTTAGAATTCAGACAGGAAGATTGTCATGTAGATGAGCAAATTTGTCACCTAACACATTCTACAACCACAGACCTTTGAGGGATTGTACTTTAATATTAACTGTGCTGTAATGAGTCACTTGCTGTAGAGGAATCACCTCCTCCTGGGTGGAAGGTATCTCTCTCCGGAATCTTTTTTTGGAAGATCAGGACCAAAATATCTGTATTTCATTGTTGTTTTAGCCACTGACAGTTCTCCAGCTGCCACTTCTTATGCTTTGAAAAATTAGTCAAGTCCTCATTCTTTCTCAGATGTCAGTGAGGCTTTCCACACCACTGTAAGCTTGGGAAACCAAAGCATTAGTTTGGTTTGGTTCAGTTTGGTCCAGTTTGATGGGGAAGAGGGAAGGAATTGAGTGAACAAAATCTGTTAATATAAACAGGAGTCCTTCTGCAACCATCACTGTGACTTTTCTGAGAGCTCCAGAGAGATTTCCTGTTGCCATAGGTCTAGTAACAAAAACTAATACAGCTAAATATACCTGTAAAGAAAAACATAAGGAAGTTGGCTTCTGAGTAGAAAAGTCCCTGAGCATTGGGAATTCTGCAGGTAAGATAAAGGACAGGTTTTTGACCATTGCATTCAAGGATTTGTGATGTCAGTAAACACCTCACCATGCGGTAATTTGAGTGAGATGTGCATAACAGCTGTGATATCAGAGAAGTGAATGTGAATTCAAAGTCATTCTGAATTATTTAGACAAGCAGGCACTTCCATGACTGCATGGTGCTGGAGGAGGCAGTGCCTCTCTCAGCCTCTCACCATGGTCCATTTGCAAGGGGAGGGGTTTGAAGGCAGGTAATCTGTGTTTATTTGGAAAAAAAAAAATGAAGTAATTGCAGATGCCTGGTTATTGTTATTTTAGCTTTCCCATGAGGAAATAACACCCTTTGCAGAGCTCCTAGATCTACTTGTTTTGGAGTGGGAGATCATGTAAAGGTCTGCTGACCACACTGCAGAGGGATCCCTGCACTGCTGCTGTGCAGAGAGACGCAGAGAGGGAATTCTCTGCTCTGTCCCCAGCAGGCATGGTCACGGCTGAGATTTCCTCTCTGGCAGCTGAGCCTGGGTAGAGCAGCCAACCCATATCCTCTGAGCAACTTGGCAAAAGGAACATGGAGATTTAGCAAGGGAGAACTTCAGTATGGAAATGATCGAGGGAGCAAAGACCTTTTGTCCTTGGAGGCATGCTTCCTATTAAATGTCTTTGCACAGGGTGGAGAGACCCCGTGTTCTAACACCTGGGACTTCTATAAAAGCAGGCAGCCCCCCTCAATGTCATATGTGGGGAGTTGTCACAGGTAATCACAAGTATTAGGTGGAGTCACCTAGATGAGTAGTGTCTAGCATGCAGTGATCTGTACTTAAACACCCCATAGCAGTCAGCTAAACGTGGCTGTGCAGCTCTGGGATCCAAAATCAGCCAGCTAAGCACAGCATTCTTCCAGCTCACCGAGCAGAAGGAGGTCCCTGGGCTGTGCCAAAAGTTCACAGGTACACAAAATCCACCCCCAGGCAGCAGCAAACACATGTGCACAGGCCATGGCTCCAGCAAAGGAGATGCTGAGGCTGCTCTCCTAGTGGCCAAATGTTGCACACAACATACTGTGTTCCCTAAACCAGGGCTCTAACGGGCAAAAGCTTGAAGTTTGGTGATAGCAGATGTTCCCAGTACCCTACAGAGAAAACTGGCATCTCCCTGTGCAGGCACGAGCGTGAGGAGGAGGAGGGAGGGTTACTCAGCATGTCTCCTGGGCTGTGATGGAACTGGTGTGTCACACACTGACACGTGCCACGCCACCACACACCTCAGTGGGTGGTCACCAGGCTGATGACTGGCAGGGATTCAGGAGAAAAAAATTCCTCAGTGAGGTGCACCAGGCTACCACTTTGCTGTTGTTTGGGTCTTTGAACAACAAATGTTTGCAAAAGAGCCACTGAACCAGGGCTCTGAGCCTGACCTCAGAGGCAGAACTTTCTTCTGCTTTATTTGCTATGGTAGGTGAGCATGAAGGATCCACCTGGCAGGTGGTCACCACACACTGTCCCCTTTGCCAGCCACCTGCCAGATAGCTCATTTCTGCCACATACCCTTCAGCCCATCCTTTTCTTACCTCTGATGGCATGTTTCTTGGCTCGAGGCCACATGGGAAGTATTTGTAAGCGTTCTCAATCAGCTTTTTGTTTTTAAATTGTCCATTTGTATCTCTGTTGTGTCCTAGCTGCTCCGATGGCACTAGTGAGCGATTGCACTGTGTCTATTTTATGTCTGCAAGCCGACATAAGTTATGCTGTGTGATCAGTTAATGTGCTGGAACTGCATGACAATCTCTGCCTTCCTGTCTGCTTCCACTTGGGAGCAATGCAAATCCTAATAGCAGCTCTCAGAGTTAAATACAGTTTGATAAATAATAATAGAAAAGTAACATTAGATTATTACTCTACATTACTTCTTTGAAGGCAATTGCATCTGCCAGCTCACAATATATATTTTTTTTCCCCCGAACAACAGAGAAAATTTTGACAGGCTGAACTACCATTTCATTTCCAACTAGGAAAACATTGACAAGCTTTAAAGGATGGTTTTGAAGAGAAACCATGGACATCCAAAGATATAGATTACAGTTGGATGGAGAAATTTCAAGAGGTCCTAGTACAGGAGACTATTGACTGCAGTACCATCTCAGCAAGGTTTTTACTATAAAACCCCACACCATATGTGCTTTTCCTGACTGTGACTCATCATCTAAATATAAATTCAATTCCAATCTCAGGGAGTCTATGATTAAACATATATTTTGTTGTTTTTCTACTGTGTTTATGTATGATCTTATGTCTGTCTTAACTCTATTTCTTTGTCCTTAATAGTCAATGTAAGTTATCTGGCTGATCTGACTCAGTGCTTTTTTCCACGGTTGAGTGAAGCTTGGTGGTTTCAGCTTAAATGAGTGGTGGGTTTGCCAGAGCCCAAAGTGATGTTGATGTTGCTCACCTGCCGTTTTGCAGACAGTAGAAGAGGAACTTCTTCCACGTGTACTACTGTGTCCATGTTATGGTGGTGCCAGGGCTCAGAGGTGTGCGGTTCACATGCTTCGGGTGCTGCCTGGATGATTCAAAAGAACCATAACAGAAAACACAGGAGATTTTGACCAGCCTCAGGTCTGTAAGTACATTTTAAACCCACAAAGTTTGAGTGTGTTTGAAATGTACTCAAATATTTCCTTCTTCACCATTGTGTCCTCATGACCCATTGAATCATCAAAGGCTTGGAGATGAAAGAAGGACTTATGGTTAGAAAATGCAAAGGACTCTCTGCTGAAGGGGGAATGGTTTGTTGTATCTTTTTTTTTTTTTAATCCTAGAACAAATAGCTCTGGTGGATAATTTTCTGTGAGTGTTTTCACTGTAATGAGTAACTGGGCTTCCAGAAATACTATTATGAATACAGTAAATAAGCTCACAATCAAAAAAACCCACAGAAATCAATTCCAAAATCCCCATAGTGTTTCATGAGCTTTGAGTCACACTTAGGGCGGAAAACTGCCCGAATCAGTAGCCTGTAGGGAACCAAAAGAGAACGTGGTCCTTTCAGATGATGTTAGTGATGACTTCCCTTCAGGCTTTTTCTACATATTCAGCTGAAGAAAAGACACCTCACACACCTGAACACATTCTAGTGGCCTAAGATGGCATTGACAGGTCAAATGCACTTATGGTATAATTCAACTGAGCCAAAGAGGGTGTACCAAAGGAGGATTTACTGAGCTGGCACAAGTGTCTAATCTTTGTATTTGCTGTAAGAGGTTTTTACCTTTTCAGAAATGGCTGTAATTTATTTTGGAGATGAATAAGTTTCCACCAGGTCAGAGTGAATCCATTGAAAAAGGACATCTGAGGACCCTTAAGCCTTTCTCTCCCACAAGATGGGTATGGAGGTGGAACTACCCACCCTGTAGAGGCTTCATTGATTAAATATGAACTTCACATAAGAATGTATTATTTTCAACCTCAGAAATATTTACCAAAAAATCAGGGATCACGATCTACTGGACAAAAGGAAAACAGTCACAGCCCTAAAAGCTGGAGAAGACAGGGCCATACTCCTCGGGCTGGCCATGATGGTGTGCTCTATCATGATGTACTTCCTCCTGGGGATCACGCTGCTGCGCTCCTACATGCAAAGGTAATTTCGTGATGGTCCCTGATCTCACACTCCCTGCTCCAGCTGACTTCATCTGGCTTACTCTTTTGACTCTTTTTACTAAAGTTTTATAATTTTTCCTTTACTCAACATAGGCCTGGCTGCTCTTCCTTACCTTACCCCAGTATAAATTAGGCACAGCCACGGTGAAGGCAATTCGAGTAATACCAGCAGAAAGTGAGGGAAGCATTAGATCCCTGTTTGACAAAATCTTGATCCACAGGCTTTAGACTTGGCACGGCTTAACACCAGTATAATATCCATATCAGCTGGTCGGCAGTCTGCTGAACCCTATAAGCTTCTCAGGGGCTGTTGCTGCAAAGCTCAGACTCAGGACAAAAAGGCAAAAATATTTCACAGCCTCGAGAAACAACACACTTTCAAATGAAGGATGTAGAATTAATTTGGGAAGGAAATCAAGCTCTTTGTAGCCTGTAGTTTTACATGTAGGTTATTACTTTCATCTTAACAAGTGAAATTCTCATGAAATATAGTAATTTGCTGAAAGTGAAAGATCATCTTTCATCATTACTGTCCTGCACTTAATTTTTCTGAAGCTTTCTCTGGCTTCCTCCTCTGCCACTGAGCAGAGGGTTTGGCCTGTGATTCATTAGCAGCGTTTGAAATCAGTTTTCAAGCACCAGTCCTATTTAACACCCAGCCCAGACTGTAATAAGGCTGTCAGTGATGTTTTTACTGCCCTGATTGGTGAAGTTAGGAAAATGAAAAATGTGTAACTGGGGATCGAAATATTAGTCAGTCATGCCCCAAACTACCCTGGGGCAGTGGCAAATATCTGGCACATTTTGGCTTATCTGCCACAGGCTTATATACAGTAAGTGCCCACAGTTAATTTGTATGAACATCCTCAATTATTTTGGTGCACCTGCAAGAGAATATTCCTTCTTGACCCTGCAATGATAAGAAATAAGTAGCAACGAGGATGAGCTGTACTAATTTGCAGCATTTTATTTATGTGATAAAGTTATTTGTCCATTTTCAAGTCCAGACAAAATTCAGATTTTGAAAACTGAGATCAAGACCTGTTAAGTATCCAAGAGCATTTGCTATTCCAAATTGCTCTCCCAGACCTTTCAGCAATATCAGGGTCAATTGCAGAGGCTGCTAAGGTCAAAATCACTCATGTGGAAAGAGATGATTTATATTACAAGCTATGTGAAAAAATTGCCAGAAGATATCAAAGCACCTACAGATTATCAAATATTCCATCTTCACAAGTGTGTGGTAGGTAGGTGTTACTTTATTACCCCCTTGCATGAATAAAACAGCAGCCAGAAAGGTGAAAGTGAGGAGAAGACAACCCAGGAGTCTTTGCTGTCACTTCTCTTCACACAGCCAGATCTCCTCAGGGGTTATTCTCCTTTACAGCAATATCTCTCCAACAAATACTGCCCAGGAGGGGAAAAAAAATCCTTCCACTTGATTCCCCCCAGAAATCATAGCATAATTTAATATAAATGTAAAATGGAATACACAAGCAGAATTACTGCCAAAGAAAGATAGCAATAGAATTAGTCAGAAATCTTTGATACCTCTAACTGTGTAAAGCCTTTTGTAGGTTTGATGAGGGGTAAGCAGACCCTCAGACCTTTTGTGGTGGGGCAGGAGAGCCACACTCTGGGTGAGCTGAGGGACTAGGGTTAAAGGGAAACCCTGGATGGAACCTTCCTCCAGCCCATAAAGGGCTTTCTGCAGAGCCCTCAATGTGCCCTTTCCCCAAGCAAAATGCAGCAGTAGATTTTTTAAATACATGCCAGATACCCAAGTAAATATTGCTGGTACATAACCAGGCTCCATCGTTGCAGTTTTAGCCTCTGGTGAATTGGAGATAAGATGAAATCCCCCAGAATGATTACAACCATTGGCTTAACTTACAGAAAACAGCAAGCTGCCACTAGAAAAAGCTTTTCCGTAGGTCAAGCTGCATGGGGTACCACTTGTGAGTTACTGTGTCTTCATGCCTATGAGTATACATACCCTGGTAATTCAAAATTGTCCTCCTGACCTTCACTTTAAATTGACCTGGACTTGGTGGTTAACCCTCAAGTCTTGGCCTGGGGTGTCTTGTCATGGAGCACTGTGTGCACTATGCTCTCCCCAGGGCAAGCTGCTCAGTTTTCTTCTATGTCTCTGCTGACACGCTTTCAAATACACCTTCTCCAGAATCAAAGTTGCAGTTCCCTTTTCATTTATACATAGACATAGGCGAATAGGGTAATTTTGTGCCCAAAGCCTAAACTCTGAGTACTACAGAATAACACAGTGTCTGTGACGTGTGAAGCAAGAAAGTCCAGGCTTTGCTCAGAGCCCTGCCACGTGTACTCTCTCCTACAAGATGCCCCCAGTGTATCCCTGATGAGAAGCCTGAGATGTGTTTAGTGCTCATTGCCCACTCTTGCCATGCTCTAATATCTCTTTTTTTCCTACTTAGTGTCTGGACAGAAGAGACTCAGTGCTCACTTCTCAATGCATCCATCACAGAAACCTTCAACTGCTCATTTAACTGCGGCCCAGACTGCTGGAAAATCTCACAGTACCCCTGCCTCCAGGTGTACGTTAATCTCACCTCTTCTGGCCAGAAGCTCCTGCTCTATCACACCGAGGAAACAATGAAAATTAATTCCGAGGTAGGAGCACAGAATAAAATTTCTTCCTAAATGGGTTTCTGGAGGGCTGCTCTCCTTGTGATACACATTCCTCAGTTTAAAGCAATATAAAGCTTCCAGCTTCTGCTTCACTGGGAAATACAGAGCAGAGAAGGCAGAAACTGGTGTACAGACTGAGCTCACACGTCTGAAGGGGCAGTTTTCCACCTCCATCCCACGTGGGGAGCACAGCTCGTGTCACACGGGGTGCAGTCCTCGAAGGCTGGAGCCTCCTTCCTCCTTTGCAAGTGCTTTACAGGCACAGGGTAGCACCAAGTACTTGTCACATTGATATTCTTTCTGAGCTGTGGACTTCCCACCCAGGTATGACTCTGCCGGGTAGTGAACACCCCCAGCAGTGTGCGTGGAGCATCCACAGTGGTGAGAATGGAATTGGCATCATTACTGCAGGGCCAGCCAAGGCGGCAGGGAGAGATGAGAGCCCTGTGTCCAACAGCACACGTGTCCCCACCTCCATCTCTGGTGACAAACTTGGCACCCTGAGCATCTCCACTGAGGTCAGCTGTGCCACTGCTGATGGTGCAAAAATCCTAAAAGTTTGCTGAGTGGGGACTGATGAGATAAAAGGTGCAGCACAAAAATAAAAGCCCTGGCTTTGGGGTGTGAACAAGCTAAGGAATCAGCTAATTTTATAGCACAACTTCCCCTGTTCCAGATGTTGAACCGAAAAAATTATTTTGAATAAATCTGCAGAAGAATTCACCTCTCTGCTCCAGCAAGTACAAGCTCCAGCTTAACTCCATCCAGGTGGGATGGAGACAGCTCCTGTCTGGAGGCTGTAATGAGGCAGCAGATGCACAGAAGGCACCTCCCTGCCAGCCACAGCCACAGCTGTGTGGCTGACACAGGGCAGTGCATCACACCCAGGAGAGAGGCCGCCTTCACGGGTGGCTCTTTGCTCCTTCAACAAAGCAAGGCAGAATTGGACTAAGAAATGTCCCACTCCCCACCTTCCTTCATATATACAGCACCTGGGGCCCCGGGACTGCAAGTTGCCGTGAGCTGGGACACAGTGAAATCATTAGACTTACAGGTGCCATATTTGCATTAACTGCTCAGTTATCCAAGGTCACTGGACCCCAAACTATGGGCAAAGTGCAGCCTGGAACAGCAGAGCCCCAGTTCAGCCTGCTCACAACGTAACCTATTGTGTTTCTATTTATGGCAGTCAGTCAGTAGACCAAATTACTTCTGCATATTAAGATGAAGTGATATTAAAATTAGTCAAAGCACAGTATGGTTGCACTAGGCTGCTTATTCTGCTGGATAATTAACTCCTGTGGCTGAGAGATGGAGTCCTCTGGATGTGAAGTGTGAAATGGAGATGAGCACCCCTTCCTTCCCCTCTTCTCTGGCATCAGTGCAGGAAGAGGCACTCACTGCCCGTGCAGCCTCAGGTAGGACACACCCCACTTTCTGCTGGGCACAAGCAAAATCATGACACTCTGCAGGTTGATTAGGACAGATCAGATAAATTTCTGTGCTTTGCTGATTCAAATAAATCAAGAGATTTGGCATAAATCTCCACATTCTGCTATTGATGATTTTTGCTTGCTGAAATGGACTTTGAAATTTTCCCAGATGCCACCTCCTCTTAATTTAATGTAGGCACAGTTAATACTTCTCCAGACCAAGGTTGTTTTACAGGTTAATCTCTGCTCTCAGGAGGATTCCTAGGTTTTCCTGACATGCTGCTGGCTATGTGACCTGAATCCAAATGCAGTTTTGAATGGAAGTTTGCAAAAATAAAATACCTGGCTTCTTGTGCCTGGCTCAGATCAGCAGAGTTTCCAAGTTCAGATCAGTGCAACCCATCTCAGTATCCTGGACAGGAGCTCCCTCTTCCCTGGCCAGAGAGCATCCCCATGCAGCAGGATGAGCAGTCCTGAGCAGCTCTGGATGGTGATGCTCCAATTGGGTGCTAGCTGTGTCTTTCCATCCACCTGCTCAGATCTGTGTTGCCCATCTTTCTCCTTGCTAAATAAACAAAATACAAAAGCCGTCCCTGGCTCACTGAGCTCTGACATCGCTGGAGATGTTGCAGAGCACAGTTCTTACCTCTGAGGCCAACAACAGTGACCTTCAAAAGGTCAGCACCCCCTCACCAACCTCTCTGCCTCGTTGAGCACCACCACACACACACACACACACAGCAGCAGCTGGAGCCTGCCTCTCTCCTCTCCCCGCCAGCCAACGTGGATGGAGCAAAATCCACTTTGATTTTAAATAACGATTTATCCAGGAGACTTGCTGTCTAACCTGGCTGTCAGCTCAGAAGGTGCAGTAAGGAGTAGGTGCAATTTATATTGAGATCTACAGCATGCTCCTGCCAGTCTCTGGTGGGAATCAGTGGGAAGTCTGTGGATTCCTGTCAAGCTGCTCGAGTCCTTCCAAGAAAAGCGCACGAGATTTTTCATGGCTTTTCATTGCTCTTGCTGTGCGTACTTTAGCCTTTAGGATAAGCCCAGCCCCTTGTCAATACTACAGACGAAATGGTTTAAATGCTTCCATGGCTACACTTTCCTTCCTCAGCTGCCAGAGGCTGTAACAGCCTCTGCGAGAGGTAAATCGGCCAGTTCTCCTCCTGCCCGCACCACAGAGCCAGGCTGTCCCCATGAGGAAGGGCTGTGGTAGTTAAAGCAATTAGAGAGGCCTCATTTTGATCTCATATTATATCATTTTGATTCTTTTTGTGTCATCGGAGCTGCTGCTGATTTATATCCATGCTCCATAAGGGAGATAACAAGCGGGATTTAATCACCAGAATCAGCTGTAACTGCCTGAGATTCAGAAATGATGGTGGTTCTCAGAGTTTCTCACTGAAGGTTCAGGTATTTATAACCCAGGAGGGAGTTTGCCTGGTGCAGGGAGGGGGAGCAGAGGTGCTCAGCTGTGGATTCCAGTAGACCCATGTCTAGGCTGGGACTGGAGAATTCTGTCTGGAGTAATCAATATCAGGCCAATGCAGAAACGAAGCTGCTCCAACCCTTGGTCCAAACCTGTTGCACTTTCCAAAATAGATGTAAATTGACATCCTGACCACTTTCTCACAAAGATTGCCACAGCACATCCTGTCTAAGTTTCCAGGCTCAGCAAGGACACCAGTCCCAACCACAGATGTATGACAAGAGTCATGTATTTCACTGCCCAGCCTCAACTGGGAGCTTTTCTGGCAACAGTTTTTTCAGTGTAACATCATTGATTTAAAGAAAACTGCCTCAAGCTTGCCTGGAGAAGTTGTGTGATCTTTGTCCTTGGAGATATTCATAATCTGACTGGACAAGTCCCTGAGCAAATCTGCACTGAGCAGGGCATTGGACCAGATGTGTCCAGAGGTAGTTCAGACAGGATACCTATCCAATCCTTTATATTAAGGAAGTAGAGTTGGAAACTTAGTAAATTCTGTTTCTCTGGTAGGTCCTTCTTGTGCTCGGATTCCAGGTTAACACAAGAACCACTTTTGTCACTTTGTATCACAGAACCCTCACTTGAGGCAGAGCACCAGACATTCTTTACTTGCAGATTTCCAAGTGTTTGACAATGCAGTTAATAAACCAGCATAGATTCAGTAGTCTACATTCACAGGTGCAGCATAAAAATTGTGGATATAAAATTCCCTGCCAGGTATTGGAGAAAACTACTGAAGATCAAAACAAAGAAAACATCGATACATCCCATTATTGTGTCTTCCTTCTTGTTTATTAATCACCATGAAACACAGCAGACACCATCATGGCAGAGCCTTGGTGCTCTCAAAATTGTGTTTTGGCAAAAGTGGCCAAGTCCTCATTTAATCACCTTCCTCAGGATACTCCATGGGACTTCCAGAAACAAAAATTTATAGCAACAAAGTAACAAGAAAAAAAACTCAACAAAACCCCACTTGAAGATGAAATACTGCTGTTATGACAGTGATAGCACATAATCTATTAAAAGAAAATGAGGTATGGTTCACTGAGAAATTTCCCCTACTTAGTAGATTATGATATGTTGAAGAGTCACGGGCACTGGAAGAGGGATTGTGACTTTGGACATTTGAGGCAAAACTGGTCAGAGCACAAGAGGATATCCTGGATGGAGCAGACACGCACCAGCAGGAAGATGGATGAGATATTGCTGCTCTGATATTTTCCATCGCTAATTTCTAGAACTCTATGAAATATTCATAATGGCAGTGCAGCCATGCTCTGCCATTAATGCTCCAGTCTGCTAATGCCAGACAACTTTTCTGCTGTGCTTCAAATCATATTCTGTGCTAATAACTTGCCAATGAATCAATCAAATCCTGTTATGAGGTTAATCCTTTGATCATAATTAGGACTAGAGATTTGTCGCAGTATGTTCCAAAAAAAGTCACAGCAGAGTCATGAAAAAGAACAAAGGGACATTTTATAAAGTATGCACATTATAACAATAATAATCAAAAGCCATGGGTCACATTATTGTAATCAAAACATATTTTTTCCTTTAGGAAACTAACTTTCTCATTAAATTATCTGGAGCTACTTTAGGTGCCTACCAGGACAAGCAGGTTTGGCAATGCAGGCAGGAGCATGGTGAGACCCACTGTCACCCCATAACCACGAGGGAGCAGTGACCTCCTGGCCCTCCGCCCCCCATGCATGTTAAATAAAAAGTCAAGTAGCAGCAGATTTTCACCCTTCCCAAAGCAGTTAATCAAAATCCTGTGAGGGTGTAGAAAACCATCAGGTTTGGAGGGGTGTGAGTGCATGAATGAGAGGAGGAGTGAGGGGCCCTGGGCTACTCCCATCAGTCTTCTTCCAGACCAACAGCAGCAACAGCAAGTTCAAGGGTTTCTGCTCTAGTTAAAAAATGGTCCAGATGTGGCCTCAACCCTTGTGTGTCTGCCCACCACCTCGCCAGCCCACACTAGCTCTTTGCAGGGAATGGTCAGCACAGCCCAGGGCTACTGTCATACATGTCCCATGGAGTATCTTCAATGCATGGACTCCATAAGGTAGTTTTTTAATTAACTTGCCTTCAGTGTTCTCTGGAACTATTCTCTGTGCTAGGTAGAGCCACCCCCAAATCTTTTTTTCCTTTGTGACTGAGACTGAAATTCAAGGAGCATCTTCAGAGAGAAGGAACTGTTGGACTTATGCTGGGGTCAAGAGCAAAAACAACACAAAGAACCATCCTGGTACCCAGGCTGATCTTCAGTTAAAGGCTGAATGAATGTCCTCTGGGCTGTCAGTAGGAAAACTACATTTTCTCCTGGGATATCTATTTGTCTCTAATAGAGGCATTTGTCTCATGGGAAAATTTGTATAAAGGTCTCTCTCCATCCCTCTCCTGTGCGAGTGAACTCCTGTGCCCACTATGATCACTTTGATCTGAGCCAAGTGAGATCTAAACTACCAGATTTGTATTTACAGAGTCAATTACCCATCTAACTGCGAGCATATGTGTGCCACTTAAGATGAAGAGGTACTTCATCAGTTCTATTTTTGCATGTGCAAATTAGTAATAATAATATATTCACCTATCTCACAAGGCACTGTGCAGATTAAAGCATTAATGTTTGAACAGCACTTGGAGGTTCTCCAATGGGAAATTCTGTAGATGTGCAAAATATTGAGTTTTGCTGTGATAAATTTATTATTAGCGTAATAGTATTCCACTCTTGTCATGAAAAGCATAATCATCTTGAGATTTTCCTGCTTGCCACCTGAAAACAGACATTGTGACTGATTTAGAAATGTATTTTTCTCCCTCTGATTCCTTCCCAGTGTTCCTACATCCCCAAGTGCGGGAAGAATTATGAGGAATCCATGTCTCTGGTGAATGTCGTGATGGAAAACTTCAGGAAGTACCAACGCTTCTCCTGCTTCTATGACCCTGAAGGCGTTCAGAAGAACGTGATATTAACCAAACTGTACAGCTCCAATGTGCTGTTCCACTCCCTGTTCTGGCCCACCTGCATGATGATCGGCGGGGTCGCCATTGTCGCGATGGTAAAGCTGACTCAGTACCTTTCCCTCCTCTGTGAGAGAATCCAAAGGATCAACAGATAGGAATGAAAACTTCTCTGAAATTTAACTACAGCGAAAATACTGTTTTCTCATTCTTCACCAAAGAACCTTAAGTTTGTAATGTGCAAGTCTGTTCTAAGTTCCTTATGATATTCTTATAAGTAGAGCAATAATGCAAAAGCTGTTCTATATGCAAACATGATGTTATTATTATGCAGACAACTGAAGAAGTTACTGTTTTGTGTTGACTGTCTATATGATCTTGTTTTATGCTGGGACTAGTACTTCTTTCTTTTCTACAGCCAAAATAGGGCTCAGTGTGACCATTTGCCAAGCTTAGTCAATTGACGTTTTCAATGTAAAGAATTCTGGGGAAAATTCACCACTGGATGAAGGGCAGCCAACCACTTGTGCATCATTGAGGTCTCACATCTAGCTTGGTCCGTTCAAAGGATTTATGGCTTTGGCTTTTTTATTAATGGCTGCAGGGGGGAAAAGAGCACTGATAAAGGGGGGGTGTGTGTGGTAAGATGGCACAAAAAGGATGTATACTGAGGCCAAGATAAGTGTACAGTATTTTCAGCCTCAGCAGGACTTGGTGATGCTTTGTGTTTGCTCCCACAGTTCAGAAGTAAATTGTACCCTATGGTGTTTAAGGTCTTTTGGAAAACACTTTGGAGTTTTGTTGTGTTTTGTTTAGTGTATAATTTCCTTCTGTCTTATCAACATAATCTTTGTCAATTGCAGAAGCTGTAGCCAAAAAAAAAAAAACACCTTGTTCCATTTTCTATTCTATTTTGAGCCCTATTGATGGAGGTGGGACCAGAACTCCTTATGTAAAGGTTTATTACTCATTTGTCTTGTATTTGCTCCCATATCATTGTAAAGAAAAAAAATAACACAATCAGCTATTTTTTCATTTTTTACTTCCAACTATTTTAGATTTTTTTACTTGAAATATATATACAGATATATATATATAAAGAAAAAGCTATATTATATCTAGTTGTGTATTGGAACTTGTTTATGGGGGTTTTTTCCTTTGTTTTTACCCACTGGAAAATGAACAGTACAAGTCATGTATTTATAACCTTCATCCTTGGATAATATCATAACATGGAGGAGCAGCACTGCAGGATCTTATCCAATATTCATGATGTTGTTTCAGTCAAAGGTCTCTGTTGCTATGACATGGGAATTGACAAAAATCTTATCCAATTCTGTGGCTCTATTAACTAAATTGTTAGATAATCATCATAACACATCTGGAAGTCTCTCCTGACCTTAACTCAGTATGCAGTGCTGGCTGACATGAATTATGATTTACAAGGCCCAGGTGCAATGATTTATTGGAAAAACTGAGATTCTGACTAAAATGTTGTCCTATCTGTCAAATATTTACCGCAGTATACTTGCCAGTATAATTTCATGCACGATTTCTGCATAATTTATTTTTATTCCCCTATAGAAAGCATTCCTTCTTATGTTTTAAAGACACTTCTCTCAGTTTCTCGCGTTGCACCCAGCCTGAAGGACAAATGCAAGGCAGATCCTGGGAGCACACTGTGAACTCATTATTCAGTAGCTCAAAGAAACCATATGCAGGCCTACTCAAACTAAGAAACTAACATTTTTCCCTTCAAAAAGACTGCAAAACAAGTATTTTGCCTATTTCATCTCTCTCTCTATAAGTACCTTTCTGCGACATGGCATTAAAAATTTCAAGATGTTACAAAACAAGTCATGCAAGTGTAACGTGAGCTGTAAAAAAAAAATATGAGTTCTCAGCAGTGAAAATGAACCTGCAATCTTGTAATCAGTAGTACAATTTTCCTTAGGTAATTAAATTCCTTGGGGGCAGGGGTATGATGAAGGTTCCAAAAATATGTAATAAAAATATTAAATTAAATCTTCTAGATTTCAATATTTTCTGCTTTCAGATGTGGCTTGTTTCATCAAACTGTTATCTATAGCTTGAATTACCAAGAAATGAGGAGTGCTGATGCACCAGGGAATTCATAAATGTTCATTTGCAAAAATGAAGTTTTGATCGATATGTTGGAATTGCAGAAATCACCGTCGGTGGATCTGGGAACCTCAGCATCAAAGGGACTGGAATCACAAGGTCTTTAATGGACTGACAACAAACTTTATTCAACCCACCCATTCTTCAGCACCCCCAGGGCCAGGGTGGACGGGGAGATGGAGATGGCAGATCCCAGCAGTGCCCCGCTGCTTTCTGCACAGGCACGGGGCTGTCTGGAGTTTTGGTGGTACCACCAGTATGAGGACATGGGGATTCATTGCCTGGTGCCCATGATGTGAGAGGCTTCAGGCTGCAGATGCTCATCATGGTTACAAAACCTTATCCTGCAGGTTCTGCCAAGAAGGCAGTATCCAAGTGAGGCCCCCAGAGCCACACAGCCAAGGAGGCATCGTGACCCACTTCTAGACAGCCCCTGTGGCTCCCAGGGTGCACGCCCTTCCTCTGTAAAGTTGATTTTTCTCCCAAGCAGAGAGGTTTGATCTGTGTTTGGTGTTGTCATCCTTGATTGTCCCTGTCCATCTCCCCACCATCAGTCACCGATGCCAAAGGAAGGACAGTGCTGCCAGTCGGGATTCCCAAATCAGAAATGTGGTGTGGTGGATTTTCCACCCCATCACCTACACTGATGTTGTCCATTTACACAGTGATTTACGTGCCTTGTGATAAAGGAGCCCTTTGGTTGTGTGTGTGACATTTTTGGTGCCTGTATTTGTGCTTCTTTGTTCTGCGACAGGGAAGCTGATTGTTCCTGACATTTACACATCAAATGCTGTTTTCAACACATCGCACCATAAAATATTTCAGCAGAGCTCCTGTGGGTAAAACATCTTGATGCTGTTGCAGACTATAATCATTTTGTTGACATTAAGGGAGAGATCTGTGGGATAGCAAAACAACTTGAGTAATTGGATGGAGTGAGGTAAAACAATAATTTTGAAGGGAATTATCCATCTGATCCCTGGCACAGTTAACCCCCTACTGAAGTGTCAGCACTGAAAATGTGATTTTTGACAACTCCTGCTGCCCCAAGGAGAGGTGGTGCTTCAGTGGGGATGTTAGTCTGTGCTATTGCTTTCTCTGTTCCATTTTAATATCATGTTTATTCCCTGCAAAAGGAACTGATGTTCCTGTAGGCAGCTCAAATGAATGAGACAAACATGGCAGCGAAATTCAGCAATTGGGCAAATCCACCCTGTTTATAAGGCGGGTTCTGACTTTTCCCAGGACAAACATTTTACCTCTTGATGTCCCAGCTGGGCATTTAGGACAGCAAGGAACAATCTGTGCTGGAAAACCCCAGAATGGAGAGGTGCAATATGAAAAAGATTGTACAGTATTCACAGGCATGAGAAGCCTATGACAGGTACCCTTATGGGATTTACAATATGCATAAGTATTTCATGTACCAGATTCACATGGCCTTTTAGTAGTTGTTATTTTCTTAATTAAATTATTTATGTCAGGCCCTATTTCTATTCTAGAACATCTAAATCTGAAGCTGAAGTGTGAACATCTCTGCCGTAATACTCCAAAACTTGGCACCTTGCAGCAGATTTACTAAATGTCACAAGCTAGGACAACAGAGAGTTTATTTTGATTTAGGTTTCCTAATTGAGGAGACATCACTTTATCTCAAAAAATGTACCCAGAGTGGAAGTGCACCTGTGTCCAGTGTGAATTTGGGGGAATAGAGCAAAGAGAGAGGGCTCAGGAAACACAAGAGCCTGAATATCTCGAGAAGACACAAAGGCAGTGATTTCCCACCTGAGGGACAAATAGGGAACAAAGTCCCAAAGTACTGAGACAAGGCTGGGAACACTGCAGGATTCACCTCTTCATCTCCATCCTCATCCCAGCCACAGAAGAGTTCAATGAAAGAAGCTACTGAGAAAGAACTGGCTGGTATAAGCCTGGTCCAAGAGGATTCCTGCACTTTTTTGACTATACAATCTTTGACCTTACAGCAGTACAACTGTACCAGTATAACCTCTAAAGAGAATGGCAATTTCAAGGTAATACCACCTTAAAAATTGTTCAGCTAATTTCTCTTCTCATGCAGTCATGCCCTTATTAAATTAGCTGCAGCCATTCAAGGGGACTGAATTTTTCCGTAGACTCAGCATCTGAGCACGGTAGCATCAGTTCTCCATTAGCTGCTGTACTGCTCATCATCCATCAAAGACCTGGGAAAAAAACCTCACTTTTCTGCTCCACTGAACACTTGTCACTTCCCAGAACTCGATTTTGCAGAAGAAAACCACACACAGCTTCTGGTGCACCCAAACATCTCACAACTGGATACAAGCTTTGCCAAATTGTTTTTTGTTGTGCAGGAAAGAGTGAAAAGCAGGGGTAAACATCAATTATTTGGTTTTGGTGTTTTGAAAACAAGATGTTCCCATTTTTCAGTACGAATTGATGTTGCCTTTTGAAAACCAGGGGTGTGGGAGGGTTTTTTTATTAGGAAAACTTGAAAAATGAATATAATAATTCCTCTGATCTGAAACAAAACTATCAGCAATAGCTCAGTTCTGTGAACATTTTGATCTTTTTTTTTTTCCTTTTTGTGAGGTTGACCAGTAAGATGTTTCCTTTCTTTCATTTTTCTCTCCCATCAGTGAAGTGCAGATTCCATTACATGGACACAACCAGCAGCAGCCCCAGCCAGGCTGCAGCCAGGCTCGTGTGTGTGATCATCATCTCAGGGATCATCACTACAAGTAAAGCAAAGCACAGCACCTACCTCAGAGAATATAACAGCTAGTGAATTAAGAGGCACCAAGAAGGAGGAAAGGAGCATTTTCCCATTATCATTGCCTGTGTGGGGCAGCAGCCACCAGACATCAGCTTCTCTCTGGTGCAGAGGCATCCCTGCAGAAGATGCTGCTGCTTCACAGAGCTGCTCATGTTCATGTGCTCTGTACACTTTAAACTAAGCCACTTTAATATTTATTTATTTATTTATTTACACAAAATGAAGCAGTCAGGCCATGTGATTTAATTATCTGAGCTACTGTAATTTAGGGAGGATCCTGCAGGCAGAACCCCTGGGCAAGTGGATTCCATGCCCTGTTAGCCCCAGGAGCGTGGCCACCACAGTGCTTGGCCCATCATGAGTTGGCTCTCCCAAGCTGTGTCCTGTCTTGTGTTTTGGCAAGTCCCAGATAAGAATCAGGAGTGGTGGGTGCTGCCCTGACTGCTCAGCAAAGCTGTGCTGCCTCTGGCCATGTGCTAGTCCCCCAACCAGCCGCTTTTTGTGCCTAACCTGAAGCTGTTGAATGTAAAACAAACCTCATTTCATACAAAGGACTTCTACATCCTTCAGATACGATTTAAAAAAAAATATTTCAGGAATGTTGATGGGTAAATTCACACCAGGATTTTTTAAATAAATCAAATTTCTCCAAACACTTAAAAAAAAAAAAGTGTTAACATTGGCAGAGCCCTCCATACAGCCTGTCTGCATTTTATAGTTCTCCACTTTCATAAAAGGAGCTGGTAGGTGACTATTTTTAACTGAACTACATTTATTTAGGTGAGAATTTAGTGTGTTTCATTGCCTAGTGATTTTATTGTAGTATAGAGAGTAAGAGATACTCATTCTAAAGTGCTCTACAAACTCTATTGAATCATTGCCATTTCCAGGAAGAAGCTCAGCAAATGACTCATAAAACACATGAGCAGAGATGGGGAATCACCTTTCTCATCCAACACATAGAAAAGGTTTGTTAACTTTGGAAGTTTGAGAAAAGCAGGTGAGAGTTGGAAACACCTCCAG